GGCAAACAGTGTCCGGGTAGCGGGCTAAGCAGCAGTGTCCGGGTAGCGGGCTAAGGAGGTCTCGGGTGGCGGGATAAGGTCTCGGCTCGGGCATCAGCAGCATCAACAGCAGCATCAACAACAGCATCAGCAGCATCGGGAACCCCTCGGCTCCGCGATGGGAGATCATGGTGCGGAGGCCTTCGCCTCTTCTTTTTTTTAGGTATCTGTTTTTCTTCCTCTTGCCCAGGACGAGACTTGGGGGGCATGGCGTCCTGACGTAGGGGACGCAGGCACCGAGGACTTTTTTTCGCCGTTCCGTCGTGTCCGAAAGTTGCTCGCTGCCAGGTTGGTCTGGTGATTGGAGCGCAGGCACCGAGGACTTTCGCCGTTCCGTCGTGTCCGTAAGTTGCTCGTTGCCAGGTTGGTCTGGTGATTGGGGCACAGGTGGAGGGTCCTCCGGTTGGCAGGCGCGTCTTCCCTTTTTTCCTTTTTTGACGATGCCTCTGCAGGAGGCGGCTTGGACGGCGGCGCGGAAGCCGCCGTCCAAGCTTCGCAGGGAGAAGGCGTTCAACGACGAGAAGGCTCGTCGTATCGTGAGAGGGCTGTGGGCTATCCTTTTTTTTCGCCAGGACGCGATGCGCCGCGAGCTGGCGGTAGCTCGTGGAGAAGGCTCGTTTTTTTTTGCCGGCTGGCGGATCGTTGTGGCTGACAGGAGAAGGAGTGCCTCCGCCTCTTCACGAAGCTCGAGGCGGAGCAGAAGTGGACCGAGGGGTACAAGGAGCGCGGTGTCCCCCAGTGAGCTGTCAGGTCGACATCAAAGCCCTCTACGAGGAGAACCAGCGGCTGCGGCTGGAGGTGGGAATCGGCTCATCCGTTGTCTCTTGAATCCCTCTTTGAGAGGCCGCCACCGCCGCAGCCGCCGCTCCGCCGGCGAAAAAGCCACGCAAGGCGCCTTTTTTTCCCACTTTGGGCCATGTTTGAACGTTCTTCTCAGGCGGCATGAGCTGGACATCGTGGTGGGAGGACCGTGTTTTTGCGTTTTTCGCGTGCTTTTCAAGCGTTTGTTCAACCTGCCGCAGGAGTGAGCGTGGCCGGCTCGACGGGGTACATCCTGGTGGAGGAAAAAGCGCTCGGGCCCGCGGCTTTTTTTTTTAGTGCCGAGCGGGCACTTAGGAGTGCCGAGCGGGCACTTAGGAGTGCCGAGCGGGCACTTTAGGTAAACGTGCCGAGCGGGCACTTTAGGTAAACGTGCCGAGCGGGCACTCTAGATTAGGAGTAGGTAGTGCCGAGCGGGCACTTAGGAGTGCCGAGCGGGCACAGTGCCGAGCGGGCACTTAGGTAAACGTGCCGAGCGGGCACGGTGCCGAGCGGGCACGTAGGATAGTACGGGTTCCCCCAACGGCACTTAGCACGGGTTCGCCCAACGACCCTTAGTACGGATTCGCCCAACGGCACTTAGTACGGGTTCGCCCAACGACCCTTAGTACGGATTCGCCCAACGGCACTTAGTACGGGTTCGCCCAACGACCCTTAGTACGGATTCGCCCAACGGCCCTTAGTACTGACTTGCCCAACGACCCATAGTACTGGTTCGCCCAACGGCCCATAGTACTGGTTCGCCCAACGGCCCATAGTACTGGTTCGCCCAACGGCCCTTAGTCCAACGGCCCTTAAGTACTGGTTCGCCCAACGGCCCTTAGTACTGGTTCGCCCAACCAGACCCAGCCCGGGCCAGCAACCCCCCTTTTTGCCGGCGTGGCTTGCGTGGAATAGCTGCAATCAAGCTGGATCTGCGGAGGCGCGCTTTGCAGACTGGGCCTTGGCTTTACCAAAGGGGTTTGCGGATTCCACTTGCGGCTGTTCCTTTTTTTTTGCCAAGACTAGACAAAAGGAACGCCTGGACACGCAGGGCAGGGAGTTTGCCACCGAGATGGCTTGTCACCTAATTCGTCATGATGTTTGTTAGGAGTGCCGAGCGGGCACGTAGGATAGCACGGGTTCGCCCAACGGCCAACGACCCATAGCACTGGTTCGCCCAACGACCCATAGTACTGGTTCGCCCAACGACCCTTAGTACGGGTTCGCCCAACGACCCTTAGTACGGGTTCGCCCAACGACCCTTAGTACGGGTTTGCCCAACCTCGTTTGATACTGGCTCGCCCAACTGGCCTAGCTCTGTGCCCCCCCTGAGGCGGTTTTATTTATATAAAAATCTAAATGCTTCGATCCCTGACATCCCGTGCTTCGATCCCTGGCATCCCGTGCTTTCTGTGCCCCCCTGAGGCGGTTTTTTATTTATATAAAAATCTAAATGCTTCCATCCCTGGCATCCCGTGCTTTCTGTGCCCCCCTGAGGCGGTTTTTTATTTATATAAAAATCTAAATGCTTCCATCCCTGGCAGGTTGTCTCCCGTGCTTTCTGTGCCCCCCTGAGGCGGTTTTTTATTTATATAAAAATCTAAATGCTTCCATCCCTGGCAGGTTGTCTCCCGTGCTTTCTGTGCCCCCTGAGGCGGTTTTTTTATTTATATAAAAATCTAAATGCTTCCATCCCTGGCAGGTTGTCTCCCGTGCTTTCTGCGCCCCCTGACCCGGTTTTTTATTTATATAAAAATCTAAATGCTTCCATCCCTGGCAGGTTGTCCCCCGTGCTTTCTGTGCCCCCTTGAGGCGGCTTTTTATTTATATAAAAGTCTAAATGCTTCGATCCCTGGCAGGTTGTCCCCGTGCTTTCTGTGCCCCCTTGAGGCGGTTTTTCACAGGCATTTAGATTTTTATATAAATAAATCGAGCCGCTGCAGCTCAGACACCTTCGACTTGGCACACAGGCATTTAGATTTTTATATAAATAAAAAAAAGCAATCCTCATCCTTGAGGTGTGTGATATAGGGATGCCAACATGCGAAGCGCACGGAGCTGAGTTCCAGGTTGTTGGGCGAAGCAGTATTAATCCTACGTGCCCACTCGGCACTGCCCAAAAACCTCCCCCCAGCGCCAGACCCAGGCCATTTGACAAGCCGCGAGGAAGTATTATTTTCTTTTTTTTTAAAAATACATTTTTATATTATATATAAAACTAACTAAACGCATGCATTCCTTGTCAGACTGCCTGCAGAGGGATTGAAGCATTAAGATTTTATATGAACAAAACCGCCTCAAGGGGCACAGAGCTAGGCCATTTGACAAGCCGCGAGGAAGTATTCTTTTCTTTTTTTAAAAAAAAATAAAGTTTTCATTTTATATAAAAACTAAACGCATGCATTCCTTGTCAGACTGCCTGCAGGCCAAGAGTTTCACACTGCTCGAATCGATAGGTCCCCAGACACCTTGCGCAGGGACCTATCCGTAAGCACTTACTTGAAAAAAAAAAAGTTTTTATTTTATATAAAAAGCTAAACGCGCGCATTCCTTGTCAGACTGCCTGCAGAGGGATTGAAGCATTTAGTTTTTTAGAAAAATAAAACCGCCTCAAGGGGCACAGAGCTAGGCCATTTGACAAGCCGCGAGGAAGTGTTTCGTTAAAAAAAAATAGTTTTTATTTTATATAAAACCTAAACGCTCGCATTCCTTGTCAGACTGCCTGCAGAGGGATTGAAGCATTTAGCTTTTTAGAAAAATAAAACCGCCTCAAGGGGCACAGAAAGCGGATGCCAGGGATCGAAGCATTTAGATTTGTATATATATAAAAAAGCGCCTCAGGGGGGCACGGAAAGCATGGGAGACAGCCTGCCAGGGATGGAAGCATTTAGATTTTTATATAAATAAAAAACCGCCTCAGGGGGGCACAGAAAGCACGGGATGCCAGGGATGGAGGCATTTAGATTTTTATATAAATAAAAAACCGCCTCAGGGGGCACGGAAAGCACGGGAGACAACCTGCCAGGGGTCGAAGCATTTAGATTTTTATATAAATAAAAAACCGCCTCAGGGTTGCACAGAAAGCACGGGATGCCAGGGATGGAAGCATTTAGATTTTTATATAAATAAAAAACCGCCTCAGGGGGGCACAGAAAGCACGGGATGTCAGGGATCGAAGCACTTCGGCTGCTGTGGTGTAGCTTCCGAATGTCCGGGGCCTGGTTGCCAGTCATTGCCAAGCATTCGGGTACTTGCTGGGGCGTGCCATCTTTATCTTTTGAAGCATTTTCTCAGAAGGAACTTAGCTTTCGACACCTACCATGACCATGGATGCCGCGCGGTCCCTGGCGGTGCAGCTCGTGCTGAGCCCAGCGCATCGAGTTGGCGAGAGGCGCGGCTTCAGGATCTTCCCCGGCTCTGCGTCGTCCTGCTTCAAGATGATGATGCACTTGGCGCACCCGGACAAGTGCACGGACCCCCGCGCTGGAGAGGCCTTCGGTGAGATGCAGAGCATCAAGAGCTTGGCGGTCGTCAGTGCGGACGCTACTCGCCAGCGGCCCATGACTGAGCTGGAGGGGCTTCTGCACCGCGCGCTGTGCAAGATCCGATCCGGTGGAGACCGCCGCAGAGGTCATCGCTTTCTGCGATGACCTTCTCCGTCGGCGCAAGCGCCTTGAGAGATCTGTGTGCCAGGAAGCCTTGGCGAGGCTCCAGTGGCTCAACCTCAATGATGCCAAACCCGAGGAAGCTGAGTCGGTGCGGGAGCTCCAACGCATCTTTGAAAGGAGGCTCTCAAAGGCTCTTGCGGAGGTTCAGGAGCAGACGGAGGAGCCGGCCGAAAAGCCGGCTGAGGCCCAGGAGCAGACGGAGACGGAGGAGCCGGCCGGCTGAGGCCCAGGAGCAGACGGAGGCCCATGAGCCGGCAGAGACCGAAAAGCCGGCTGAGGCCCAGGAGGAGACGGAGGCCCATGAGCCGGCCAAGGAGCCGGCTGAGGAGCCGGTCGAAAAGCCGGCTGAGGCCCAGGAGACGGAGACGGAGCCCCATGAGCCGGCCGAAAAGCCGGCTGAGGGTCAGGGGGAGACGGAGGCCCATGAGCCGGCCGAGGAGCCGGCCGAGGAGCCGGCTGAGGAGCAGAGAGCAGACGGAGGAGCCGGCTGAGGAGCAGATGGACGGAGACGGAGGTCAAGGTGAGTAAGGTGGAGGAGGAGGAGGTGGAGGAGGTAGAGGAGGAGGTAGAGCTTCCGACACCCGCCCAACTGGGGCACTACACGCAGTTCAAAGAACAGTTTACCGAGCCTCCCGAGGATAACCTAAAACACCATCGCCTTGTTTGGGAGCGGACGGACGTGTTCACCATCAGCAACGCTCTGCAGCTCGACGCCGTGCGGCGATGCCCCGACCACAGTCTCTTTGATGTGCTGATGAGCCTGTTCAAGCGCTCTGTGAATGTGGACCAGGACGGCATTGGGTGGATTCCCGTGCTCCTGCGCCCAGGCCGCACCGCGCCTGGGCTGAAGGGGCGGATCTTCTCCGGCATCGGTCGGGTGCCCGCACAGGAGGCGCCTGCCAAAAAGCGCAAAGGCAGTGAGGGCGCCGTGGATTCCGCTCGGGCAGAGTTCATGAAGCAGCTGCCGCCGGAGATTCGCAAGGAGATCGAGATGGGGGTCCCAGACACGCTTGTGGGGCGCTCTGCATTTACCTTCAAGAAGTTGGTCCGCTACATTGCGCGGCATCGCCTTGGAACCGTCGAGCTGGACATCAAGAACTCGTTCTTCCAGCTCTTGAACCGACAGAAGCCGCTGCCGCCCATCATGGCGGAGTACCTGGACCACCGTGAGGAGAAGCTCGCGCAGATCGGCCGCGTGCTCTTCCACAAGCTGCCCGAGGCCCGCCGGCGCAGCGTGGCGAAGGAGCTGATGATTGCCCTGGGCGTTGGGGGTGGTTTCGCAAACTGGACGAGCAAGGTGCTGCAGGACATACCCTTGGCTTCGGATGAGGGGGAGCGCGGCGAGGTGGCTGCTTGGCTCTACGGCTTCGAGACGGCGGCGCGCCTCTACCACGTGGCGTTTTTGAGCTGCTGCCACAGAAGGCCAAGGACTGGCACATGGAGCAGGGCCGCTCCACTGCCTCGGGGGCCTTTGCCCTGTACGCCCACCACGAGAGGTTGCAGATGGAGAAGATGGCGGCGGCAGCGGGCAGGGCCTTCAACGACCACCAGCACGACGGCATCGGGGCCCTCCGCTCCGCGAGCGAGGCCGTGAAGCGAGCCGTGGATGTCGAGGTGGTCGTGCACGAGCTGGAGGACCCGTGGGCATACGCGGCGGCGAAGTACCCCAACTTGGATTGGGGACTCAAGTCGAAGATGGAGTTCTCCGGGTACCACCAACTGCTCCAGCGCTGCAGGCAGCACGTCATACTTGGACGGGCGAGGGCAAACACCGTGGACTTTGCGAAGCTGGCGGCGGCGAAGCTGGTCCCGGTCGTACACGTTCCGGTGGAGGGGGGTGAGAAGAGGACCACCTACGAAAGCTTCGAGAAGGGAGGCTTCTGGCTGGTGCGAAACCGGGACGACTTGGGCCAGACCGTGGAAGACCTGATGTGCAAGATGTGTTGCCCGGTCTTCGAGACAGTCGATGAGAACTACGTGCCGCCGCCGCCCCTCAACGAGAATGCCTTCTTCACCGGTCTGTCCTCGTCCGTTCTGGGGCGTCTGGCAGGCCCGCAGATGGCGGACCTCGACGGCGACGAGACACGGCACAAAATCCTCTTTTGCGACGGCATGCTCTACGATTTCAAGGAGCGTGTCCTCCGATCACCGATCCCCGCCGACCGCATGGGCTTCCACGCGGCGGCGACCTCAGCGATGTGGCAGCCGAGCAAGGCGACCAAGCTCTTCGAGCACATCCTGGCTTTCTTGAAGGAGCATGTGGAGACGGGGGTGTGTCTGCTCGAGGCCAGCGAGAATGGCAAACAGGTCATCGAGTGCTTCGAGGAATTGGAGCAGGACGGGTGCGAGATCCTCCGCTACATGAAGGTGTACGGGGACTGGGACTCCGTCCTGTACGAGCTGCGTCTCATGACCAGGGCCATCTCCGCGACGCCGCGGATCTGCGAGATGTACTACATCTGGGGAAGCCAGGATTCCGGGAAGGACACCAAGGTGAAGATGTTGCACGCCTTCTTCGGTCACAAAGAGAACAACTACGGGGTGCAGCGTCCGGGAAACTATGTGGTGCAGCAGACTCGCTACCTGACCGCGAAGGACGGACCCGCGCCTTACCATGCAAGGACTCTAGGCAAGCGGCTGGCCTGGGCCAGTGAAGTCCCCGAGCACTACTCGTTGGCGGATGACTTCATCAAGCCCTTTTGTGACATGGAAGTTGCGCCAGTCTGCAGCAGGAAGCTCAACAAGGGTCCCCGGGACTTCATGCCTACGGCTTTGCTGGTGGAACAAGCAATCACCCTCCCCGTGTGACTCGACCGGATGGGATGCTGCGGCGGCTTCGAGTCTGCCAGACAACGGTCAGCTTCACCTTGAAGCCGTCCATGGCCACCGTGGAGCGAGCCGTGGATGGCCTCAAGACCCGGATAAACCAAGGAGAGTTCAACAAGTACATGTTCTTCCTTGCGGCAAATCTCGTGGACTCGTTGGAGATGGAGTACAACCCAGGCACCGAGATCAAGCCGCAGCCACCGGAGATGAAGATGAGCGCCATGGACCTGGTCCCATGTGCAGACAAGGACGAGGAGGCCAAACCCGAGGCCTTCATGACAGAGATGTGTGTGCCCTTGAAGGAAGCAAGCCTCCACACGGAGCTGACGATGGCGCTGAAGACCTACCTCAGCCTGGACACCTTGGGCGCGGCAAAGAGCGTGATCTCGAAGTTGGGGATCAAAGGACAATCCTATGGCCCGCGGTACATCTCCACCCTCAAGCAAAATGAGCGCAGGGTGGGTGTGAAGCTCCGATCGGCATCGACAAGTAGCTCTTAGGCTTTTGGGTGACGTACAGTGTCAGCCATTTGCAGAGACCCGGCAAGTCACGTGAACAGATGGCGTGCTTGCGCAAGGAAAACACTGTCCAACCCTTCCTTGCTGTCTTGAGCGCACCTCAGATGCCCAACCCTTGTTAGATGCCTCAATGCCTGAGGCTTCTGCGGTCTCGACGTCTTGCTCGGGCAGGTCGATAGGTCGAGGACACGGACATGGGGATTTAGATTTTTATAATGACGTCGTCTGAGAGACTTGGGGTGCTCTCAGGAAAACATGCAAAAACACGACTCAAAGTACTACAAGTTTGCAAAGTTTCCAGTTTGGTCCAAAGTAGCCGTAATCAGTCGAGGGTCCTGGGCCTTGGAGGCGCCAGGAAGTCGTCCAGCTGCCTGACAGCTGCCGGCCTGCCCCGCCTCGTCAGTCGGCCCGCCGCGTTGCCGCTGCCCTGGGGCGCCGGCAGCGCCAGCTTCAGCAGGGTCTCCCGGCCCTCGGTGCTCCGGACGGTCATGGAGTCCACGGCCCGCAGCTGCTGCACGTCGCCGTACTGAGGGTTGAAGCTCCTCGCCGCGTTCGTCGGTGCTCGGAAAGCGCCCGCGTCCTCCACTGCCTTGATGCGGCGGTTCGTCAAGTCCTTGTTGTGCTGGAACCTGTCGGCGTTGTCTTGGAGGACCCTGAACTCTGTGGCCGGCTGCTTCTCCACGTCTTCCGGGGCGCCGTGCACCGTCTCGTGGGGCCGCGCGTTGTAGGCCGAAGCTGTCTGCTTGAAAGTGGTCGCTCCACTGGCCGCCCTTGCGGGCCACGCGCGTGGCCAGGTCCTTCTTCAGCGTCTGGAGTCCCCGGTCCACCACGGCCGTGGCGTTGCGGTCCTCCGGGCGCTTCGTTCGGTGCACGGCTTCCGCGGGCAGCTCCCGGTCCAGCGTGGCGAACTCGTTGCCCAGGTCGGTCGTGACCACGAAGTTCTTGACGTCCCCCGTCAGCTCCTGCGTGGCACGCTTGGTGGCCCGGCCGACCGTCTCGGCGTTCTTGTTCTGCAGAGGTTCCACGGCAGCCTCCCGGGTGAAGACGTCCATCACCACCAGGCCATACTTCGTCTTCCCCCGCGTGTTCTGGCTAAAGTCGATGAGGTCGGCCTGCAGCCGGTCGTTCGGCCCCTCGGCGGCCGACTTGCCCAGCGCACGCGGCCGGGGCGCCTGCACCTGCCGGCCCACGTCGGCCTTCAGCGCCTCGAAGGCCATGGCCTGCGTCGCGTCAAGGTTGCGCTGCCTCGCAAGTTGGTACAGCTTCCGCGGGTCCCGCACGTTGAAGTCGTCGGCCAGGTCCCTCAGCGCCTCCATGTTTACTTGTTCTTCGGCCCCCGCTGGGCCTGCCAGGCTTCCAACTCGTCCAGCCGGGCCTGGAAGCCCTTGCACACCCCCCAGAGCACGCTGGTGAGGTGCGAGTAGTCAAGCGTGATCATCTCCGTGCCGTCGCTCCACCTGGCGGTGCCCGTCAGGTTCTTCCACTTCGTTCCTGCGAAGTCGTTCGAGGCGAAGCCCAGCCTCAGGTCCTCGTTCATGTCCGGGCGCTTGTACTGCATGGCCTCCACGGAGTCGAACAGCTGCAGCACCTCTCCCACCTCGGCCTCGGCCATCTCCGTCTTCACCCTGCTGTCCGACAAATTCGTAAGCTCGTGTTGCAGACCACGTTGCCGTGTTGCCCGCGATCACGAGGCAGCCGGGGTTCCTCTGGTTCGTGGTCAGGGACAGCTGCGTGGAGAGGCTCTTCGTCTGCACCAGCGCCTCGTCGTTGATCATGATGAGCTCGCACTGGTGCGCCCCGCCGTCCCGCTCCAGGAAGACCCGCGCGCTCTGGTTGCCCAGCAACCGCAGCTCCGGGCCGCTGTCGGGGGCCGCGCTGTTGTTGGACACTTGCAGCTTGCTCCAGCCCGCCCAGTTCTTCGTCAAGAAGAGATCGTCCGAGAAGTCGGAGGTGTTGGTCACGGTGAGCGTGTTGGACGCGAAGAGCTGCGGCGCGGAGACCGTGCCCGAGCTCGTCACGTCGCCGCACACCACGCTGCCCGTCGACACTCCGCCGCTCGTGGCCGTGAAGGTGCAGTCCAGGCTCTCGCAGCGCAGCGGCCCCGCGGAGGCCGCACCGGTGATCGTCAGCGTGGCGCCCGTGACCGCCCCGGTGGCTGCGAAGCTCGCTGCGGTTGCTGCGCCTGAGGCCGTCAGCGTGCCCGTGGACACGTCGCCTACCGTGGTGAAGTTCCCAGCGTTGGCCGTGTTGTTGATGGTGAGAGTGCTGCCGGTGATTCCGGTGGCCGAGCTCAGCAGGCCCACGCTGGCCGCCCCGCTGAGGCTCAGCGAGCTGCCCGACACGGCGCCGGTGGACGTCAGCGTGGCTCCGGCGACGGTGCCGGTGGCTGTGAGCGCTGCGCAGGAGACTGCGCCCGAGGCGTCCACGCCCGTTGTGAACACGTCCGTGCAGTTCACGTCGTTGCACAGCAGCTGGTTGCAGCCCACGTTGCCCTGCGCAGTGAGTCCGTCCAGAGTGGCTGAGCCCGTGAGGGCCAGCGAGTCGGCCAGCAGGTCCGTCACGGAGACCGAGTCTCCCTCGAAGGCGCTGGCCCTGATCTGCATGCTGTACAGGTCCAGCGTGCCCGCCGACTGCTGCACCAGCCCGGAGATCGAGCCGCCGAAGGCTCCGAAGCGAGGCCGCCGTGTCCTCCTCCTCCTCCGTGTTGCCGACCTCCAGGGTTGCGTCCAGGATCTGGAGGCCGTAGACGTCCACCGTTCCTGCCGTCTGGTTGGGCAGGCCCGGCGCCTGGAAGTGCGCCCCAAAGTGCAGCTTCGCAACTCCGTTCGGAGGCACGGCGAAGTACATCTTGGCCGTGCTCCAGGCGCCCTGGTCACCCACGAAGCTGCCGTACAATGGGTCGTAGACGTTGTCGGCCTCGGACATGTCCACGAAGTTGGAGGGTGTGCCGAGCCGGTACCGGCAGGCGAAGAGGAGCTCTCGGCCGGGCGTCAGGTTGTAGGTGCGCACAATGTTCCACGGGTTCGCTGCCAGGGTCAGGGTGTAGCCGTCCACGCTCGCTGCGCCCGCGGTGCGCGTGGCCAGGACCACGCTGCAGCCGCTGCTGGGGCGAACCGTCCAGTTTGACAGTGAGACGTCCGTGGGGGCCAGGATCTGCTCTCCTACGGCGGCCACCACCTCGTCGGCCCCCCCGTCGTCCGGAAAGCGCACTGCTATTTGCAGGGCCGAGGCTGCCTCCGTGACTCCGAGCTTGCCAGCCAACAAACCGTCCACTTGTGCGATGGTGTAGCAGCTGAGCAGGGCGGCGGCGATGCTTGAGGCCGTTGCCGTGTCCTGGTCGGCGGCCGAGCGGTACGCCACCAGCGCGGAGGTGATTTGGTTGGTTGTGAAAACATCCTGGTCCGGGCCCGGCCAGCAGCGCGCCTGCGATGGCGGCCTGCGTCTGCGTGTCCTGCGCGCTTGCCGTGCGGTAGTCTCCCAACAGCGCGTCCACTTGCGCCGAGGCGTAGTAGGCCAGCAGCGCGGCCGAAATGGCACCGGTCGTCTCCGCGTCCTGCGCGTTCATACCTGCGGCCGGTGTCCGCCGCTGCGACGGAGTAGCAGTCGGCCGTGATGCTCAGCGTGTCCTCGCCGTTGGCCAGCGCAGCAGAGAGAGGAGCCTCCAGACGCAGGTTGCGAACGACGTTGCTTCCGCGAACGAGCTCCCAAGTTGTGAAGCCCGCCCAGGCCGGCGCGTTAACAACTCCGCCGCTGCCGGAAAGCTGCAGGGCGGCGAGCTCCGCGAGGATTGCGTCGAGGGCGCTCTGGAGCGTTGTCTCGCTGGCCGAGAGCGCGGCGTTCGTGGCGTATGAGGCCAGCAGCGTCGCGTCGGCCTTGGCCCCCTGGAGCGCCGCGATGCTGGCGTCCCGGCTAGCACGCTGCGCTGCGACGAAGGCCTCGGTGGCGAGACCCAGCAGGGCATTTGCTATCTTGGTGTCTACCTCCAGCGGCGTGTCCAACCCGTCCACCGTGGAGAGCAGGGAGGCCAGCGCGCTTGCGTCCGCCTTGCCGAGGCCTTGCCGAGGAGGGCGGCGTCCAGGGCTGCCGTGGTCTGCGCCCAAGAGGGCTGCCGCTATCTTAGAGCCCACCTCCGAGGAAGTGTCGACGGCCGACAGCGGGGCGTACGCGGTCAGCGCGCTGGCGTCCGCCTTGGAGGCCTGCAGGCCCGAGATGGAGGCGTCTCGGCTCGCAAGCTCGGAGGCCAGCGCTGCGGCGGTGACGGCTCCCAGGAGAGCGTTGGCCACCTTGGTGTCCACCAGCGGCGTGATCCTCGCCGCTATGTCTAGGGAGTGCTGGTCCACCACTGTCTTGAGGCCGTAGTTGGCCGCCACCGTGGCCAGCGTGGCGTTGTTGGCCGAGGCGATGGAGCCGTTCATGGCCGCCGTGGTGCTGTAGTTGGACAGCTTCAGGTCCACGCCGTCGGGGTGCTCTTCGTAGCCACCACGCCCTCCAGCACGTCGAAGGCCGACTGGTCTGCCTTGTTGGAGAGACCCGCAGCGCGGCGATGCTGCTTCCGTGCGCGGCCACCTGTCCGTCCGTGGTGGCCAGGGCTGCTGCCGTGGCCGGCGCCAGCGCGCTGCTGTCCAGCTTTGACGCCAGCTCTGCGGTGACCCGGTCGTCGCGCCGGAGGCTGCCGTGTTCACGGCTAGGTCTGCCACTTGTGCGTAGGGCGTCAGAGCAAGGGCCAGCTGCCCTGCGGTGACGTGCGTGCCGTCAGTTACCTCTCCGTTGTCCAGGACCTCCGGGATATTGCCGGTGACAGGTCCCTCAAACATGTTTACATATGTTTTCGCCGAGTCCAGTGTGGAGGGACCGCTGCGGGGACGGGGAGGTGCGCAGGATGCTTCAAAGAAATATGCCCGCGCTGCTGCAGCTCTTCAAGGGCACCGGATCAATTGGAAGGGCCTTCGAGGCCAGGGGCTGGGAGACATCCTGCCCAAATT